AATGCTCATCTATAAATAATTTTATATTATATTGTCTAAGGGGTGTTAGAGTTCATAACTTTTGGATCCCATACATTTTTACATATTTTTCTTTTATTTTTATTAATTGAAATTTAAAATAATTATAATCCGTATGTTGCAACTAAAACTACATTTTATGTATATAGTTTGTTCATAATTTGAAGAAATTATTAGAAACAATAAAAAATAGTAAATATAATATATTTACTATCTCCGTTTATTACCGATATCATACGTTCAATATTTATCAAATGTTATAGCATTTTTATTTGTTACGAAAATTGTTTCGGTCTCAACTTTTGTATTACGACAGAAAAATCGTATTTATATATAATAAAAGTTTGAGTATAAAACGCTCATATAAAAATCACATAAATTCTTGTGATTTGTGAAATTACTTCAAACGATATACATCAAATGCAACGAAGAAATCGAAAAGAAATATAATACACCCAATCTTTATTAATTTTATCCTGTGAAAGTATATGTAAAGAAATACCTCGCATAGTTCAGATAATCTGATATCCTGGATTATTTAAAACCAAACTAATCGAAGAATTAAATAGTTTTTTGACTTTATAAAGAAAAAAAAGATTATTTATGTGTAAAAAAAGTTTACTATTTTTATAAAATTATTTTAAATGCGTACTGATCGAAACCCCACTATCACATAGTGATTTTATACAGCAAAAATACGATTTTATAATATAATATATTAGTTCAATATTGTTGTTAATTTAATTTTTTTAAGGTTCAAAATATATGAATATTATACAAAAAAATATTTATTTCTTTTGTTTGTATATTTAATTAACTAATATAAAACTTTTTTTTATATAAGAATTTCACATATATTTTAAAAAGTACTTTCTTTACTAAAAAGCTATCATTCAATTTGTTCGATACATATTTTGAGTGGTTCAAAACCACTTAGCATCATCCTCTCCACACATCACTGTGACTGCGTACTAAAAGTATCTAGATTTTAGACGTGCCTACCAAATCGATTTCCTGTACATAACATTTATATAAATGACAAATATTCATGACGCCATGAAAAAAAAAACATGATTGATGTACCTAAAAGAGAGTAATAGATTTCTTGCTTTAGGTATTATAGCGAAGCACTTCAAATAATTTAATCAATATAATTTAATAATAATACAAGCTGTAACAGTTGGTCATATTTTTTTTATGAAATTATTAAAATAAATATATTATATAGTAAAATAAAATTTGTTACCAAAATCAAAAATATATTTCTGTTTATTAAAAAAAAAACAAGATTTATTAGTGCAGTAAATAAATTGTCCATCACTCAGCTAACTAACTTTATTTTTATTGAATTATGTAATGTTTTTCTATTATTATTAATTTATCGTTTCCTCAATAAATTAATAAAAAAAATCACGTTATGTGCGTGAAGATTGAATGAAACTGTAGCTTCCATCAATGCTATTTCGCTACAATACGGTTTAAATATTTAAAAAAAAAACTAAATTTTAATTGACAAAATAAAAATAAATTCTAATAAATTTATACACAAAATTATATTTTTATAATATGAAATCCTCGATTGTTGTACATATTGTACTTCTATGCAGTAACGAGTTTAATCCGTTCCAACTTTTCCTGATTTTTACTCGTATAGTGAAACATATTCAAAAATACACATAATATATATACACAAGTTTTAAAAATGATGTAGAAGGCGCGCAATCCGAGACTTTTCTTCTCATCGTCACTTGTTAAGCGAGTCATTTTTCTTACAATACATTTTGTTCGTTAAGCGAAATGCTCGTTATGCAAGGTGCTAGTTAAGTGAGGCTCCATTGTATTTTTCATGCTTTTTTTTCTTTATATTATGATATATATGGTAATACTTAAATGGAGTTTCTTCGGTGCTCAATCACAGTGACACGGAGTACACGTCAGGCAACAGTAATATAAATAATTGCCACGTGTCGACGTTAATGCGGTAAACCGTTTATCCCATTTATATGCGTTATCTTAAACATTACGCCTCAATATTACATACGTTTCAATTAGTAAACGTATTACGTTCGCATCTGAAATTTCGAGCAGACTGAACAACCTGACGAATGAACGTTAAAACATTTCACTTTTGACGTTCGGTTAAATTTAGTGTGAAACATTTTATTCTCTTTGATAAATTGACGTTATTGAATTTGAGGAGAACCCTGTAATTTTTCATGACGATGATTTCCGCCTCATTTGACATTTTATTTTCTTTCAATTTTTTTTTCATCCGATCTAATAATACTCATGACATTGCATTTTTTTGATTTCCTATGAAATTGAATTTCCGTTAAAATTTGAAAAAAAAAAATATGATTTTATATTAGGGTTGAAGTATCCCGTATAAATAAATGAATAATATATCAATACATCGAATAGTACGGGCAATCGATTCCCGAACTATTTGAAACTTGACTATTCAAGGAACTAAATACATACAAAATAAACTGCACAGAAAGAGACTTGAATGTCTCCGCCAAATAGTTTGTTTAGAAAATTTCAAATTACTGAATCCGGACTGATTGAAGCCGCTCTATAAAATTTTAAAAAATCATATTTTTTTTTATATAAAACCAAGTAAATAAATGAACTATTGGTACATTGTATAATAATGCAATTACTATGCGATTAAACATATTTTAAATGCATGCATTTTAATAATTACATTTTACGTTTAGTGCATAACTTCATTAAATAAAAAATTAACATAAACATATTATAAATAAATTTTAAACTCACCGATCAGAAAAAAAACTATAATTTATAACCTTCAGCAATAATTTTTAAAAATTGGAATTATCATCAAATATTATTATTATAATTAATAATATATATAGAAGTAATAAAGATAATAAAATAATATGCATTATGATCAAAATATGTTATTAAATTTCTATTACCCACTTGTTGTAATTTGTTTTGGAATTGCTTTTGTGTTTTTTTTTTACTTCCACTTTGCTAATGGCAAGCAAATATACATCACATTCAAGAAGAAAAACGATGCTCGCAAATCCTCAGGGACCACATTTTCAGCAGATTTTACTTACATTTTCTTTTGCACATTATTCATATAAAATAACAAAGATTTATTTGTTGTCATTTCTTTTTAACAAACGTATAATTTATTAAATTTGAAATATTATTTTAACAAATTTATAATATTTTATCAAATGTCTTTTAAAGTTACAAAAACCAAATACATGTTTACATTAAATAGCATAGCTTCACATAGTCTGAATCACAATCAATTTTAATTAAGCAAAATAAACATAAATTCTAAAAATAATAGTACAGAAAATGTCTTTTTCCCTTTATTTCTATTTTATTTTCTTCCTTAGTCCGCTTTCAAACAGTCCGGGGTATTGGCGTAACCGATTATCCATAAAGTATTATTATTGTTACGAAAAATATACATTACAAATAACTTCAAAAACTTTAAAAAAATGTTCTTGTAACGTGTACTGATTTCAAGATAAATTCTATAAGATTTAATTGATCTGGAGTTTAATGACATAAATAAATATTTTGATTATATAATCTTTGATTTTTTTTTACATTTTTTAAGAATATTATTAAATATACTAATATTTTTGTAAGTATTTAGTTGACTTAATTTATATAATTCCATGTTTTACAGAAAAGCACCTAAATTTTAATTGAGCAAAATAAAAATAAATGCATAAAAATTATTACATTAATTTATTTTGTATATATAAATTATCATTTGTTTTTCCTTTATACAGTAAATTTTATTTGTACTGTTTATTTTTAAAGTTTTCGATTAGCAAGGTATTTACAAGTTATTCGATTAGTCCGGTTTCAAATAATATGAAATCTTGGCTGCACCGAATACCCGGACTATGCGAGGTATTTATATTACTTGCGAAAGATGACTAAAGAACATCTTCATTATAAGTAAAATCTTCAAGTTGATGTAGAACATCGATGTATAATGGCAATAACTTTCTCTAAAACATTTCTCTTCGTTCATAGATGTACAGTTGTTATAATTTGTTTTGCATGTTTCTTGTTTTTATTTTCATTTTTCTGTTCGATTTGTTGTTGTTCGTGTGTGTGTCAGCAATCGGTTCACAGCAGCAACGTAAGCCGGAGTTGTTGTTGCGGTTGCTGGTCGTTGTCGATTCACTTTCAGCGCTGACGGCAACTTCGAGGTAACACTGGCCACGAAAGCGACCATCTACCATCAAGGTTTGGTCGAGTGGAAACCACCGGCAATTTACAAGTCTTCGTGCGAGATTGACGTTGAGTATTTTCCATTTGATGAGCAAACGTGCGTCCTGAAATTCGGTAGTTGGACGTATGATGGCTTCAAGGTAAGGAGGCATGCGTGCAGAAAAAAAAACAAACACCCCAAAATCCCATCACCTAAAAATCTTTATAAAAAAAAAAGAACAATCCCAAAAACTCCAAAAAAAAAAACATGCAACAACAATAGAACTTCGCTTGAGTAATAAATAATACTTCGCCACATCTTCAAAACAAAACCGAAAACACCCGCACACGAAAGAAATGGATTTAGTTATTATTTTTTTCCAATTTTAATTTATTTTTTTGTTACGAAATCCTTCTTCGATCATCTTTATGTTTTTATTTTAAGTTAACATGTGCTGATTGATCATTATAAAAAAAATACAACAAGACACCTGAAATTTAGTTCAGATTTAGTTATTACTTAACGTGTTGTTGCTGTTATTATAAATCTTGCTTCAAACTCTTCTGCGTGTGTTATTATCTTCTGACTACTCGAATCTTCTGGCGATATCCTTCGGAGTTGGAGGTGTCCGATCAGCTTTACGTTAAATATTTGATTTTTTGTTCATTTTTTTTTTTAAATTTGTGTGTTAAACTATTTTTTTTATTTTTGGGAAAGAGTCTTAAGGTTTAGGCGCATTTGGCACTGTCAATGTGTTTTCTTGCAGCGCCGATGGCAACTATGAGGTCACGTTGATGACAAAGGCCACAGTCTACTACACGGGGCTCGTGGTCTGGCAGCCCCCGGCCGTATATAAGTCCTCTTGTGCTATTGACGTTGAGTTCTTTCCCTACGACGTCCAAACATGCGTTTTGAAGTTAGGAAGTTGGACCTATGATGGGTTTAAGGTTCGCGTGGTGTTTTTGATGTTTGTTTAGAGATACTTTTATAATATGCGCTCCCTGTAAATATTGACTTGACTCGAGCAAACTGTAATGAAAATATATAAAAAAATAATAAGACAAACAAAAGTATGCGAATGCACAAAAAAATAAATTTATCGGTGTACATCAGTCAATATCTGTTTCACTGTCTCAATATTTGTTTGTTTGTATTTTTGAAACACACTTTGGGAAAGGTATAAAATTTACAAAGACTACAAAACCACACTTTAAAATCTTTCTAAACTGAAATTAAAAAAAAAAATAAATTTAATAAAATATTTAAACACACCAAAGCATGCCACAATATCAATATATATATATATATGTATATATAACTCTGTATACAGATTGAAGAAATCAGCACAGTTTTTCTTTATTTTAATTCCATTTATTTTTCATCATTTCAATAAGGTTTTCATTTAACTTTATATATTTAACATACCAAAATAAAGTTATTTTTATTTTCACAAATAAACATTTATTTTATCTTTATCTTGCAAATTGAGAAATTATTTTACTTATGACAAAATAATGAATAAGAATTTTGTGTATTTATAATTAATTGCAAGTTATTAAAATATTTTTCCAAATAGATTAATATATTTTGAATGTTAATTAACAATTTATTAAATATGCTAAATAAAATTAATAAAATTTATTGACAGAATTTTAATATTAATCTAAATAGAACATTGGTTTTGTCAAATATTAAAAGATATTAAATGTTATTTTCCTGCATTAATTATGATTAAATTAATAGAAAGGAAAACAATTATAAAACCAGTAAACAAAATATTTTTTTTAAATATAGACAATTCTTATAAACTAAATTAGGAATTATATATTTTATTTTAAAAAATAACTTCAGAACAAACAAGATTTCAGAACTTCTAGTTTTTTTTTAATAATTACATAACTAAGATTAATAATCTACATAATTTATTACATTAGTGTATGTAAACAGTCAAATTATTTAATGATTAATAAGTTTTTTGTTACAAAATATTTTGGTATATTAAATATGCAAATATTGAATGAATCTCGTTGTAATATTATAACCTATTATTTTAATTATTTCTTTTTATAAATATTTTTCTGGATTTTGTCCAGTTTCGTTGAAACCTGATTTTTTTTCTATTCATTTTTTCGCAATTAAAAATATTTGTTTTTTAACTCCTATTTATTTTTCTGTCTCCACTACAAAAAAAAATGAAACACCGGAGAACAAACCTGAAATTAAATTGCATTTATCATTTTATAAATCATCCGGCCAATTAAATCATTTTGCCAGATTGCATGGATTCTAGTGCAACAAATCTCTTGACTGGTCAATTTCCGACCATCAATAACCAAAATGCATGGTAATACTACTACTACTACTGCCTGCGCTATGTTTTGCATGAAACTCACAAACAGACAACAACAAAAAACAAAGACACGTAGTTGAAAAGCTGAATTTACCCTCCGAAATAATAACTAATTTAGTTGAAATTTTCACAAATTTTGATAGAAAATGAGAAAAAAGTGATTTTTAAATACTTCTGCATTTACTCTCCAAATTAACATCAAATTTTAAGGATAATAGTTTGAAGAACAAAAAACTAATTTTACCCATCAAAAAACAACTAAAAAGCTTCTAAAATATTAAAATTGTTAACAAAAAATATTTTCATTTAGTTTTGAATTAACCCTAAAATAACAAGAAATTTCGATGAATTAATAACAAATTTTGAGGAAGAAAAAAAAAAGAGTAGTCGTTATTTAGTTTCGGATTTAAGATTAATGATTCTCGCTTTGGTAAGGGGTTGTTTATGAATCATGAATAACGGTTACGGTTAATGTATTCGAAGGGGTGGAAAACCGAAAGTAGAGCTCCACATCCCAGTGCAAAACAATCACAAACTATATTAATCACGAGGACGGGAAGTTTGCGCAAATCTGTTCACAATTAAAACTTGCTAACTTTACCTTCAGCGACTAATATTTGTGCAGAAGTAATTGGCTAGAGTAAATAACGTAAATTCAAAATACGCGTTTTGCAATATACTGTTTTTTTTTATTCGAAAGGGTGAGAATTCGGGATGCCATTGATGGATGGTCCAGGGAGGTCGACGTTTATTTTTTTATGGGCTGTAGCTGTTTACAGGGGGATGCTCTATTTTTTGTCGCGTTTAGGAGGGAAACCATTAATAATCTCGCATGCGAGGCACTTTTGTTTTCACGAAATTATTCCGGGCCGTGGGAAAATTAATGGCGTTACGGTGGGATAGTTCCAATCATTAAAGCCCTTGAAAACTGAAACCGCAGCCAAAATTATATCCTAATTAACGAGTGATTTCGGATCGGAATTGAAGAAACTGTGGATCGATTGGTCCGTTTCTACGATTTATGCTGTTCTTATGGTAGATTAATGCATTGAACAAAGGAGGGTAAATAAGCTTTACGGCTTCCGGGAGTCGAGACAACACCTACGATGTATTAGTTCTCTCATCTCAGAGGAATCCTACTATTTAACATGTTGACTGCCAACTACCAGATAACTTATGGCAAAATAAATGACAACTACAAGTTTAGCAACTAGAGATTACTTACAATAAACTAAACAACAAATTTGAGTTAACTTGTTGCAATTAAATGGTAACTACGAGACAATTTGCATAAGACTAAACAACAACTATGAATTAAGTCGTAGCATTTAAATTAGCAGCAAACTAATTAACAGCAACGAATTAACTCGTGGCACATAAAAGTAAACACAAAATAACTTAAAGCAAACTAAATAACAAGTACGAGAGAACTAGTGGCAGCTAAATGTAAACTACGGTTTAACTTGTAGCATATTTAACAACAACCACGAGATAACTCGTAGCAACTAAATAAACACTACGAGATAACTCGTAACAACTGATTATAAAAAACAACATAAGTCATAGTTGATATTATTCACAAGTTATCTTGTAGATCTACGAGAGGTCGTCATTTCTCTTAATTATTTCGTAACAAATTCGTTTTCCAAAAATCTTTTTTAATAGTATAAAGTAAAACTTTTTTAGCGTTTTTATATTTTTTTCATCAACTACTTCTAATACTTTTTTTCATTAATTTTGTCATTCTGTGAAAGATTGCATAATGAGGCATTTGGGAGAGGCAGTCAACTTGTTAATATAAGTATTATATAACTATAAACACACACATGGCTGGCTTATTAATTTAATTATATTTTTGAATTCCATTTTTTAATTTAAACCGAATTAACCGATCCTTTTAAACTTGCAACCGCATGCATTTGGAATCCTTTAAAATTGATACGATAAATAAAGAAATGTTTAAAAATCCACCGATTATTATTATTATTATTATTATTATTATTATTATTGTCTATTTTTTTTTAATAAACTCTTTTTGGAAATTCTTCTAGAAGTCTTCCTATTCCTTACGTTCTTTCGTTTGGTACCAATTTATTTATTTATTTTTATTTTGTGGTGTATTTGTGATTTTTGACGCACCACAAATTTTATACCTTTTCCATTAAGGGAGGTTAGCGTTTTTAGAGCGTGGTTTTAATAAGTGTTTATGTCGCCTAGGCTTGAAACGGCTTGCATGAATAATGTGGGCTTTATTAACGTCAGCCTCGGACCATCAATGCTTCCTACACACAGTTTCAAGCTTTGGTCCGGGGCTGAAATCGTGGCTGACACGCGTATTGACACCCCCCCATACCCCGACGTGATCCGTCCACCCGAATCACCCCTATTCGACCACATAGATACACACACATCCCTTAAATCCTGCACATTCATAAAGGGAGGAAACGCGAAGCAATAAAAGGCACATCGACGAAGCACAATAGAACACCACCGCATCGATCTACATTTTCCCTGCAACTCTTATATTTTCATATCGCATTTTCTTTCTACATCTCATAATTTGATTCGCACTATGATATTTGCATTAAACCATCCGGGAAATTCCGAAAGAAAAACTCAGCTTTTCCGCCCACTTTATTCCGGTCGGGATGCAACTGGGATGAGAAAAAAAAGGAAGAGAAAAGGAATAAAAACGTTCAGTGAAAAATCACATTCGCCTCTGCAAATGAAATGATGTAATTTTCCTGAGGAGAATCTCACTTTGCAAGATGCTATTTATCATCTGTTCCTTTTCTCTCTTTTACTTTCTTTCTTTCTCTCTCTATTTTCATTCCTCCATCCTTCAGCTAGTGTAAACGTAATCTAATATCTGACAGAGCTACGGCCTGCAACTCTCGGTATAATTGACAAAACGGAAATATCAATTTCGCATAACAAGGAAATTCGATCCAGCAGCTTCAGTATCAAATTCCGATAAATAGAAACACTTTACAGCGCCTGAAAAAATACTTTTACCCATTAGATTTTTGCTACAAACACGTTAAAATGACGCTACTAAAAAAATCTTTATATAATCATCATATTTAATGTAAACAGATATAATAATTCAATGTATTTTTATTTTGTAATGAGATGAGTGATATGGTGGAAGGACACAAACAATAACTGTATTAGATTCCAAAGTTTATCTGGATCAGGGACAAGCAAAACTTTTCCGGGCTTCTTCAGTGTTTTAACTTTGCTTTTCTTTGCAATTGTAGCCAAACCTCATATGCAGTAAATTTCTATATAAAACCACATACTAAATTGGATGAGTTAGATATAACGTTTTGTCCTTAACTTACATATTACTGGGTAATACTGCTGCATTTCAATTGTATTTCTCATTGAAATAAATACCTAATGGATATATCTTTATTTATATTAAAACTAACGAAGTATATTGGTTATATAATCAAATTATTTAAAATTTAATTAAAGTGATTTAATTTTGTTTCAAATACATTATTAATACATATAAATTTTGTAGTCATTTAGAAGAGATACCTTAGTTAACATCACCTCAGACAATGAAGTATAACAAATTCCAAAACTTTGTAGCAAAGAAAACTAGGAGAATGAATACTAAATTAATAACTAAAGATTTCTAAAGGACATATTTAAAGAGAAAAAAGAGTAGAAATAATTTGTTCGGAAAAAGTTTTTGTTTTTCTTACGAAAGATTTAGCTAAAGTAAATTTACCTCTAAAAACAAAGTTTCGCTTAATGAAGTAATTACTTAAAATACATTATATTAGTTAATAGAAGTATATCGAATTAATTGAAAATTAAAAGTAAATTGTTGAAATGATTTAAAAGTTTGTCAGGTGCAAAGTTGAAACAAGTACGTTTTCTCCACTAAGTATCATCAAAGATGTGTGAGTGAGATTGTTGGCAAGGATCTGGGAGTATAAAAAGCATTCCTCGAGGCTATCGTCCAATTAATCTACTGACGTGTTTCAAACACTCGCTGGAAAAAAAAATCTATTGAGAAATAATTACGTAAAATGGGATCAGACATTTATCCTCTGATAAAGCTTCCAAAAGGAAAAAGTTGCCTTAAAAGAAACTAAATTGATTTTAGATTCTAACTAATTAGGAAACAAATATGTTTCTTTGGATCTAGGATTTTAAAATCATTTTTATAGTTTTATTATCAATTAATCAAATAAAATTTATACAAGAATAATAAATATTTTTAATTATATAAAACTTTAGATAATTAAATTATATCAATAAAAATGATACATTTTGATTCAGAAATATTGAACAAAACTTACCTAATCCAAGATTAACATTTTCATAATTAATAACAAATTTTATTGAATAAAAAAATATAATTAATTTCATTTTTTATTAAATATTTATTATTATATTACTTTAATTAAATTACCTAAGTCAAAATGATATTTTTATATTTACTAATACAGTTAATATTGTCCATTTTTTTCTTGATGTTTTTTTTTTTTAAATTTAAAGCTTTAATAATGGTAACCTAAGAGATGTTTGCTAAAGCTAACGACTCTGAAAGGTCATTCGGTCTTTAGCTTTTTGTGTGTATCGATTTATATTGGCAAACAATCTTCGGTTACATAAAGTAATCTGCCGGAGCCGTCGTTTCTTCACAAATTTATGACCGACGATGACACTTGGAAAGATTCCTCTCCGAACATTTACAAGAAATGGAGAAAACGCCTCATCATGCCCATCCATCGTTTCTTTATATCAATATATTTTTTTACAAGCAAATCTATACACAAATATAAATGGATGGTTTATAGTTCATGTAAATTCCAATTTACTACAACAAAGAAAACCAATAGAATTTTATGTTACGTTCATATTTATAACAAAAATATATATATTTCTGTATAATAAATTTATAATAATGAAAAAATAATTTAAATATTATTTATTCAATTAAGCTTACCTTTTTTATTTGATTTTTTACTAGGTTTAATAAAATAGACAACCTAGGTTCATTAGCAGATGGTAAAATTTCATTACAGATATCAAGATATTATACGGGTTCAATTTAGGCACCGGTCCAAATTCGGAAACTCTTTTTAGATTGAACGTTTATTGGTGAATGTACTAGTTAAATTCTAAATGAGAAAGGACTTTGTTACTTACTTTAAGAACTATGAACTATTAAAATTAAAACTAAATTTACAAAATTAAAAAATTAACTGTCTACTAAATGCATCGTTGAAGTGTTTTAGCAACTACAATATTACTTAAATTTACCTTTCATTAATAAAAGGTAAACATTCTTTATAGATATTAAATGGTGCAACACAGACACCGGTCCAATTTCGGCAACAATATTGATTTAATAAAAAATCACTTTGTAACAACGTTTATTTACTATAACTAAGATTATTACAACTAGTTACTATAAATATTGATAACATCGGAAGCATTGATAACATCGGATTTGGATTGATTATTAAAATTTTCATATAAATATGAATGAATTCAATTTAATTACAAATGCATTGTGAATGAACGTGCATAAAAAAATATATATAAAAATAGAAATATTCCTGCAAATAATATATTGAAATTTGTATGAATATGAATGTTTGGCTAGTGATCAATATTTTAATATAACGGGTAAAAAGAGATTGATGCGTTTCGCATAAAATATTTACAATGGGAGAGTTTGAGCGAGAGCAGGAGTGGGAAAAAAATGAAAATGTCATATTCAGAGCGGAAATTAAATTATGTTTCGTTTCCAGCGTGAAAGATATTTCTGTTTTTTATTTTTTGTATTAATGTCGGTCACATGGCAAGTTTATCCGAGTAAATTACTTGAGAAAATTGCAACAAAAAAAATAAAGTAATGTGAGTTCAGTGAATTGCGAATGGATAGAGAATATGAAAAGGGGACTTAATGAACGTGGATGAGAGAGTCTTTGATAAATGATCTTTGAAGTACTTCGAACAATATCGTATTGAGCAATTTAAAGTTAAAACTGTTTCTTTTCGGGGAGACGTATTTTCGCGAAGTTTTCTTTTTTCGTATTTTCTTTTTAGTTTTATCCTTACGTGAGGAATTTGAGGGAGCGGTGATAAATTGACCATAAAATGGCCATAATCTATCCGAATCGATAGAGACGGAGCGAAGTTGTCCACCATCGAATCAACAATAAAAAGACGTACGGGGAGAATGGTTTTCGTTTTATCCAAAAAGGATATATATTCGTATTGCAAATCTTAATTTTCTTTGAAAAAGGCGAATGATCTTGATTAAAGAATCTGATGATTTGCCTACATATTAGTGAGTAATTGGAAAATTATTCAATATATGGAGAGAAGAGAATAAAAATGGAGTAGGTTTAACAGTGTCAAAAAGTAATTAATTTCTTGGAAAAAAGTATCAAAATGATATAAGAATTCAAATTAAATAAAAGAAAATCATTTCTCAATGTAAAATTTACATAAAGTAATTTTTAGTTTTTGCACAATGTACAACATACAAGTTTGAGATAGAATCTCTTTGTTCTTAGTTTCTTTATATAAAATTGATTCTTGGACAGAAATGAATAATTTTACTTTTTTTATAACTTACTCTAACTCATTGTGGTCGAATTTTGATTAATTTTCATTAATTGATCTAATAACAAATAACTTGTTACCCAGGATGGACCACTAGTTTAATTTTAGTTTTCTTCGGAACAATTTACAAAAAGTATGTTTTGATTTTTGTTCAGTATATGTAGTCCCAATATTGAGTTTAAATGTCTTGTTTCATAGTTTCTTCATATGTAAAGTTTCATTAACCTTAGTTTATTACCATACAATGCAACTTACATCTAGATATCAAGTTGTAATATTGGTACAAAGTTTGCAACTTTCTCTTATATTATTTTTTAGGTGGAAACACGTTACAAACTCTGAAAGAAAAACAATTAACTTTTCTTTTCTCATTGAAGAAAAAATTAGAAGCGAAATTATTTTTTGGAGAAGCAAATCAATTATATTTTTAATTTTAAAATGTGACTATTTTTTTAATAATATAAGAAATTAGAAGATTTTGAAAGAAAATACGTAAGTCACAAGTCTTATTTGTTTGTTGCTTTAAAATGACACTAAATTTTCTAGTGATATCAATTGAAAAATTATATAAGAGATACGAATTAGAAAAAAAAAAACTTTATTTATATGTAGATGTATCAATATTCGGGTAGATGCGCCGGGTTATATAAGTATCCTAAGAAACAAGACAAAAATCATTACATTTATGTTTTGGGTGGATGCATCAGGACACAAATATTTTTAGTTTTATTTATAAAATGGGACTAAATTTCTACTGATATGAGGTATTGAAAGATTATGAATAATAAATCTGTATTATATTTTTTAAATGAGACTAAATTTTTGTATCAATAATTTAAAAATGTTTGAAAAAGATACAAATTAGAAGTCAAACTTTGTTCACTATATATTCCATGTTTTGGAGAAGCATATTATTATTGTTTTTGTTGCAGAATTAGAAAACAATTCCAGTTATATAAAAAAATGAAACATTATTTTAAAAATAAAATGTTTAATCCCTCAGTCTGTGGGTCCTAAGCTTTTTTGTGCCATGCTCTACCAAAGCCTTTCTAAGTAAATTATACATAATACGCCATACGGTGAAACTCTAGATTTGTCCATTTTCAAATTATCCCCCTGTGGGGCCCACGTTAGGAAACACTACCCTATATGAAACTAATGTTTGTTTTTTTTCATTTAAAATAATATTATTTTTAAATTATGAGGAATTGAAAAAGTTATATAATGAATTTCAATTCAATTATATAAGATATACGAATTAGAAGAGAAACTTGTATTGTGTTTCAGTAGACGCGTCGAGTAAACGTACAGCGAAATAGCTCGTACATCAAGCGTGTTTACAGTAAGCTCTCTCTCTTTATCTCCCTCGCATTTCGTACAAGAATGTGTCCACTCAATTAGTGCCCCTCTCTTAATTCACATGGTCTCATCCCTCCCATCTCTTTCCATCTTTTGTCTCCGCATAGTTTAGATCGCAATTCCCAGCTGGCATGCACCGTCGAGCCCTTTATGGAAGAAGCAACTTTATCTTCTTCCGTGAAGCGGATCCCACTAAATGTTCTATATGTGTCTTAGGTGTCCTTAACTCATAACTTATCTGTTTATTATTTCCTTTGACTTATAATTTACAATTTTCTCTTTTCTTTCATTCAGACGACACAAAATGAATTACACAAAACATTATGCATTTAGTAAAGAAAACCACGCGACAGGATTTAATTCCATCCATTATTTCAAAAGAAAAGATTGAAATCCAATTCAATCTTTTCTTTTAATCTTCAATTTCTTCGTCAAACCATCTCTTCCAAAATCTATAAATGTGTTGTTGTTACTCGTTCCTTTATTTTTAATTTGTTCGTTGTTGATCTGTGTGTTAAATGTTTAGATTGTTTTCCGGGGGCCGAAAGGGCTCTATAGAATCACGTTCCTGTTAAGTAATCAATTCTGTTGGCATTCAGGTCGATCTCAGGCACATGGATGAAAAGGCTGGTAGCAACGTGGTCGAGGTCGGTGTCGATCTATCCGAATTCTACATGTCCGTTGAATGGGATATATTGGAGGTTCCTGCTGTCAGGTATAAAGTGCTATTCAACCCAAATTTACCTACAACTTAGTTAACGCAATCTGCTGTAAACTGAAATCTGAAGATGTTTACATACAAGTAAATTACTTTACAAGCGTCTTAAATTTATGAACTTCTTAATGTTTCTTTTTTTTATTTCTTTATTTGTTTATGGATGGGAAAAGTAAAGTTTTGTTTGAATTGCAGGAATGAGAAGTTCTATACGTGCTGTGATGAACCATATCTCGACATAACATTCAACATAACAATGCGGAGGAAGACGCTTTTCTACACGGTGAACATCATCATTCCTTGCATGGGCATCTCGTTTCTCACAGTGCTTACATTCTATCTGCCCTCTGACAGCGGAGAAAAGGTGGGTCGGCTATTGCTTAATAAAAACATTCCACGATGCCAATGGCATGATGTACGATCGAGGCCCAAATTTTTACTCGCCCTACGGGAAATTTATTAAATTTAATGGAAAATATTTTTTATTATGTACTTAAGAATGGAGCAGAAGGATATACGTAGCGAAGAGGAAGGAGAGAAAAAAAAAATGGAAGGGCAAGGTCGTGAATAATAATAGTGTGGGGAAACGGGTATGAAAATTTTAAAAGGATGTTCTATCCTCGGGGAAATATTGGTTTTGGACCTTCCGAATAACACTCTTTATTTTCCTTTCAGCTTCTTTGGCTGTTCACTATTATTTACACTGCACTCAGTTTTAATTTCAACAACGTCCAACATGTTTTCTTTTCCCTCGACAAATATATAATCAGACTGAATGCACATATCCACAAGCAAAATATACGTGCTCGGATCATTATTTCAACAGTACGTGTCTTTTACTATAGAAAAGCTTTAATTTGAAATTCCAATATTTCATGACAAAAACAACATAAAACTAAGGAAAATGTTATTCTAAATTAAAAAAATAAGGTTTTAAATAAATCTATTAATTTAAATAGTAACAATTTTAATATTCATATAAACATAAAAATTATAAATATTTAAAAAAATCCAGCAGAAATTTGATAGTTTTTCTCTTAATAAATTATTTTTTCTAGAAGACACGATTTTTATTAAAGAAACGGGAGTCCTAAAAAGAGCTGACATTTTAAATTTGACGCAATTTTTTTCGCGTTAAACCCATAGTGGAGATTTATATATGCTGTCATTAGTAAACATTGTGGTTAAATTATGAAAAAGGACATGATCGAAAATCGCGTAGAAATTGTAAAAGTTAACTTAAAAAATGGAAACTGTTGAGTTGAGCAGCAATATTATCAAATAAAAAATATGTTTTTTTTTTTAAATTAAATATCAGTTAATTTTAGGACACACTTTATGAAGCGACTTAGCTTCTTAAATCGATGATAAGTTAACGAACAATTCAGACAACGAACATCGTCTTTGAACGGATAATATTCAATCTGATGATCATTCTATTAAATATTACAAGTTACATAGGAGGGTTGTAATGTATTCAAATGGATTAAGTATTTGTGTGGGAGTAGGTTTAAATACAGATTAAACCCAAATAATTCAAGCTGTATTTGAATTTCCATTAACAATGCGGGATTACAGATAATACATTTATTATTTGAATATAACCTGAAATTAAATATTTGTTGCCCGATTAGTTTCTTCAATTAAAATGAAGATTAAGTGCAAATAAAACCATAAATTTAACTAAAAATATGCATATTAAATTTGTACTAATAAAATTTCACAATAAGAGAACTTAAATCAATTGGAATATATTTGAAAAATCTAAATCTGTTTATTAGATTATTTTTCATAATATAATGATAACAGCAAATTTTAATTAAACAACCATAAAAACAATTTTGAAATGAAAAATTAATGAACATACTATTCTGATTTTTTTCAGATCTATTAATGGTTTTCAAACACAATTTGTTATTATTTTTAAATTTTTATATAAAACTTTTTTTTTCATAAAATATATGTATATTTCATTTTGTTCTCTTATAATATAAATGAAGTGCCAATTTTCTACAACTAAAGTAAATAAATAAAATATAAATGAAAACACGATTTTGGTTCTTAATGAATAAAATTTTCATTATATAACATAAAATATTGATTGCGAAATGAAGGTCTATAGTTTCACAAAATGTGCATTCATTAAGTTGGAAACTTTCTGCTCGTTAGTGAGAGATTTATTTCCATAAACTTGTTCAACATGAAAGCAAAGCTTTAACAAGTAGCTTTGATTTCAAAGTCGCTTCAAAAACATAAGTTTCTATATTTATATTTTTATAAATACGCACTTAATAAATATCTATTATATAACATTATAATGACTACAAAATAATTATTTACTTTTTAATAATAAAGATATTTAATTGGGTTGAATGTCAATAAGTCATTGTAACAGTTGAGCAATTCATAATTATAATTATATAACAGAAGTCGGTAACCTTTTTAGAGCAAAGAGCCATTTTTTATGATATTGTCTGTTAACAAAATGTCTAAGGAGCCTCAATTCCAATAAAGTTTAACAAGAGACAACTTCATAATTGGTTTATGTGTAACTAATTATTATTATTAAAATTTATTGAAAAAACAATATAAATAATTGATGAATTACATCAATTTATTAAAAGTAGAGGAATTTTAAATTATTCAATCTTTATCATGATATTTGTCATTTCTTTACTCGTCAAATCATTTTTAACTCAAATGATTTATGGCTTTAGTTTTCAAAATATGATTGATAGTTCTCAACGTTGAATCGACATTTATTAATATTCTGTGAACCGAATTTAACGAACGCCCTTACTTGATTGATACTTGCAAATCACAATTAATTGACGTACTGATGTCAAGTTTATAATTACGAATGAAATTGATCATCTGTGTCATCAACATTAGTGTACATTTTCATTTATTATGTATATTTTACGAATCACGTGGATTACAAAAATTAGAAACATAAAAATTTAGTAATTAACTCAAAATTAGATATAGAAACTTTGATCGACTGACCAAATTAGATTTAATTAAAAAAATGTAAATAAATAATGTTCAATAAATATTTACAGAAATACCTCGTATAGTCCGGATAATCTGCCAATGTCCCGTACTAAATACATATAAAAAGAAAATATACATGAATTTATTTTTATTTCTCAATTAAAATTTTGTATGTTTTAAAATTAAAACCGGATTATAGTGAATACGGACTGATCGAAGCCGCACTATGAGAGGTATTGCTGTATTTATATTCAATAAAGTTTTTTCTAATATATATTTGTAAATCACGTGAATTTGTCTAGATTGAAATCTCGTACAGAGAGAAATTGCGAGATTTGTGAAACTTATCAAGTTTAAGGAATAACTTTACTCTAAGTTCTTTCCATATAAACTTACATGCAAGTGAAATCCTCAAATCCTGAAAATAAATATATTTCGCTGATAAATCTTCATTAAACGTCAGAAGTTTTATAGATTTTATAATAAAAACCAGACACAGTTTGATAGAAAATATTTATATAAATAAATATATTGAGAATATATGGAATGAAATTTTCATAAATATTTAGAAAATAGATTTAACTTATTAATTCTTTTAAAAGACGATACTTTCAAAAATATATTTTTCTTCTGAATTATATAACAATATAATTTTTATGGATTTTAAAATGAACTTTGGAAAAGATTAGATGTTAAATAAAGAAATGCATATATCATTAAAAACTATACTTTATAATTTATTTTACTTGTAAATCATCATTAAAGTGTATAAATTTCATGCATTTTATAACACTAACAAAGTTACAGCAAATGCAAATTTATACACAAGAAAATACCTCAAATAATTTAAAAAAAAAAACCTATAAATAAGTTTTAAACAAAATAAATTTTATGGATTTGTGAGCAGAAAAATCTTTTTATTTTATTATTATTCTATGGAAATTTTCAATTTTTATGATTTTTATGTTATTTTAGCAAAAAATATTATTAATTAATTTTATGGATTTTATGTATTTTTAAATGAAAACTAAGAAATGCTTACATAAATAGAAAAAATAGAATAAAAGGATTTTTTTGATGCTTCAAATAGTCAAGATATTGTATATATTTGGAGGAAATGCATTTAGATTGGAATGGGATCAAAGCGATTCAAAACAAAACAAAATTTCCACTCATTTCTTTTTCTTCTTTTTCTTTGTACGATCGAAACGGCGGGAATCGTTTTGTAAGTCCGCAAGTTTAATTTTAAAACGGAAATGAGTTAGTGCTCGAGGGAACCCCACGAAAAGAAAGAAATCACGTGACGCTTCCGCATAATTTTTATATTTCGTTCCGGAAACCCACAAAGAAAAAAAAAGAGGAAGAAGTGGAAAGGAATTGCTGCGAGTATCACGAAAAGTTGAATAACTATTGCAAAAGAACGACTTATGACGAATTTAACTTGACGAATATGCATGACGTTTACTACTCATTAATTATTTTATATTTTGAGTGCATATATCTGTAGTAGTATAAAATATAGAAAGTCGTAACTGGTAAAATTACGTTATAAAACGTAGGTAAAAATGAATAAATAATTACGTACCAAGTTTTGAGAGAAAAAATAAACGAAAAATATAAAAATTCGGTTGTCGAACATTTTGAAAATACAACGGTTTAAATTATAATGCTAAAGTTTTGCCAATTACCCGAACTATTTGAAACCGGACTAATCGAAGAACTAAATACATAAAATTAGCTTAAACAGTTGAAATAAACTTTGAAATGAAAAAAATGTAAAAATTCAGTTATTGAACATTTCGAAAAACAAACTGTTCAAAACGAAAGATTGTAATACATAGTGCAGTTAATTGTACTGCTGGACTATTTGAAACCGGTCTATTTGAATCGAAGAAATAAATACATAATCATAGGTAAAAAGAAGAAATAATTATGAACAAAGTTTTAGAAGAGAAAAAGAAAAATATAAAAATTCGATGGTCGAACATTTAGAAAATTGAACTGTTCAAAAAGAAACATGGTACATAGCGTAAGTAATTGGTTTTGCCAATGTCTCAGACTATTTGAATCTAGACTCTTCGAGGAACTAAATATATAAACTGTATTTTAAAATTTACTATTGTTTTGCTCTATAAAAATTTAGTTTTAGTAAATTTAAAACTTTTCAGACTGATTGTGTAATTTGTAAACTAATTTTTATTTTTAAGTCACTTTAGAAGTAAAATATTCATTATCAATATCGATTGAGACAGAAGTTTTTTTTAAGTTGAAAAGAAATTAAAAACTGTGAAAAGTTAAATGACTGTTGCAACCGAACAAATCCCAGTCAATTTAAGTTTACGAATGTGGATGGCATTGTGCTCGCCAATTAACCATCGACTCCGGCATGCCATGCCATTAAGATAATGAGCGGAATGCAATAATAAAAATCTCTTTTGCGAACATCTAAAAGCACTAATGGCCTAATGAAACATGTCCGTTGCTCTCCGACGGGTGGGGTATTCATCCTCATACATCCCTCGCACCCCTCCTCAAAAACCTGTACTGTCAGATTACATTACCGAGCGATTTATTATTCAGGCAGCGGTAATTAGTTTGTATTCAGGTGAAATCTAGTGTGCCGTAGCAAATGGGCCGACGTTACATGGTAATTTACTAGTCTATAGAGGTTCCAAACCAATATTCCAACAATTTCACATAAGCCTAAAATAGGATGGCAAAAAGACGATCTTCAAATTGTATCCACTATAAATACAAAGAATTTAAAATTTCAAGTGAAATTTTGGTTTCAAACAAAATTTTCAAAAGACGATTTTATCAATGAGAATTATTATAAGACAGGATAATCAATTCTTAAAGTTTATTTGTAGCAGTAATTTGTTTTTAAAATTGTATAAAAACACAATAAAATTTCCTAAAATCTTATTTTTTTTCTTGCCACAAAAATAAATTATACGTATAAATATAGAAAATATGGACTAAATTTAATTGTTCAATGGAGAGATTATAGCGTACCTAATTGCACTACTGACAAATTGTTCGAGAACCGAAATTTTCTCCATAAATTCAAGATTTTATTTTGGATTTGTGTTCAATAACCGAGGTCTATGTGAAATATATTTGTATAGTAAAGTTTGAGGCGGATATGCTTCTATGCTTTAGTTTGAGAATGCTCCTTCGGCAACCCCGGAAACATTGATTAATCAGGAAAACGGTTTCGATCTGAATTCCCGGTTCATTTTAACTATGCATAAAACAAACTATCCGAAATAGAGTTGCAGAAGGCAACCGGTCGTCGAACATGATAGCAGTAAATTGAACGTAATGGAAAATAGAGTGTCTCTGAAGCGAAAATAGCGAAGCCGACGCCGTTTTCACACGCGAAATATTTTATCGTACTGCCGCGATTCCTCGGTTCCCCCTTTTCGCAACACGGGAATTTACATACAAACCAAAATTTATTCACATTGATATTCAATTCCAATTTCACGCCAGTCACGCCTTGACTTCTTCGATCCTAGCAACAGCTAATCCAAAATAAGGAAGCAGTGCATTTTATATAAACATTTTTCTTCATATAATTAATCAGATTATCCTCGATTTCTTCTATAATTTTTAGTAGTTCATATAAACCTGCTGTCTCGAACAAGTTGCAATGTTATTATATTGTCTGATACAATAAATTTTGTTATATTATTATTTTTTGGAATTCTCATTATAATTTAAATAATATAATTTATATATCAACAATTTAATTAGAAGAAATAAGAAGTAGAATAATATTTCTACTAATAAAATCATTAGTATATATATTTAAATTATATCTAAATTATTTTATTTATAATATAATTATTTTAATTTATTTTTATAAAAATAAACTTATTTAATAAGTATATGTAAAAAAATACTAGTTTATATTTAGAAACAGTGAAGGAAATAGTACAAAACTTGTAAAATACGGTTGTCTCTTATAAACGAATTCCTACTGTTGCTTTTGACTAGCAATATTGATCCTAACAAGGTCTATCACATATATACATCTGTGCTGTAGGCATGTAGTCATCTTATTCCATCAAAATGCAATATGTTATTCAACATATATAGGCAAATTAGGATCGGTGTTTTCAGCTTTCCAAGCATCCAGCTTTATGTATTGCCAATTCCGTCTATAACTCTTTCTTTTTCTTCATTTTAAATAATATATTCAAAGAAACAGTATTGTATGGAATATTCACGTCTGTTTGGATTTACTTAATGTTATGTTAAAATCAAGACAATTTTCTCAGACTTGTTTTTCTATACAAAAATATTTATAAGATATAAAAAAACATCATTTATAGAATAATAAAATATATTTAGTAAAAAGTACCTCTAAAAAACTATTATTATTCAATAATTAAGTTTTTATAGTTTTTACTAAATACTATTAATCATTGAATATTTGTTCTTTAGTATTATGACAAAAAATAAAGTGTTATTATTCACTCGTTTTATATCAGTCAATCATTCAAAATTTACTGAGTTTCTCAAATATTTCTTAAACTAATATTAGGAATGAGTACTGATTTTCTTTTGTTATAATTATAGTTGTTGCGTTATAAAGTTACAAAATATCAAATTACTCATTCTTCCATTATTGGAAATTTCCTAAAATCTTATGGATTTCCTTCATAAAAAATAGTCATTCAACAATATTTTGCGGTTTTTAATTAAACAAAACAATAAATTACTATAAATATAAATATATTATCTTTATACCTAAAAGATATTATTTTCTTTATGCAGTGTGATTCGTACTTCCATTATTGAATGATCAAGTTTACATCAATACCTCGCATAGTGCGACTTTAATCAGTCCGGATTGAATATAGGAAACCAACTAAATTAAAATTGAATAAAATAAAATCTTGATTTTATTTTGATTTTATTTGATATTTATCTTGATTTAAAGTCTTCGTTTAGTCCAGTTTTAAACAGTCCGGTATATTGCCTATTGCTGTATGTAAAACCTGCTAATTGACACTAATTACTTAATTACAGTTTTTGTCCAATTTGGTTCCCACTAAACTGAAATATATTGCATACGAAGTTACATTGCTATGTGCAATGATAGACAGTAAAAAAACTGGCGATTAAATTAAAAAATAATTCAATAATGAAAACGCGCAATGGCGCTGAAACAAAATTTTTAATATTGACAATTGAAACCGAGTTTGCGAAATTAGCTTGGTTTTATGAATAATGCACATACATATAGAACCAGGTTTTAAATAATACGTGTATTTCTGGGATAATTAAATTACTGTGATATCAATACAACCGTTAGAGGCAATATTTTGGTTCGATTAAAACCAATAACAATATTTTTCAATTTCATAGCAGATGAATTATTAAATGGAAAGTTTTGAAATTTGTATAAATGTGAAAAAAAAAATGAAAAATATTACTTTTGTTATATACTAAAATATAAAAACTCTAATTTATATTTAATTATATTAAATAAAATCATAAAAAAGAAGTTCTTTTTTTTTTTATTAATTATTTTCTTTTCAAAACACTATGATTGTGAACGGTTTTGGAAAGAAATAACAGAAAAAATGATGCGTATTGGGGTTAATAGGTTCAAAGACTTTTTTCCAAATGAAATTCCGTGACGTCTAGCTAATGGACGAGCTGCGGACAGTTATTTTTTCTGTCTTCTTCTTCTTCATCCTATTCCTCACGCTCTCTCATTCGCCACCCCCAGAAAGTTCCCATATTGTCACCCATCATCGCAAGAAAATTAATTACTTTCCCTTCATGATCATTAGCTTTTAGGAGGGGTGAGTGCAGATTGCGGCTACAATTTTTTTCTTAATTGTTATGATCCTTTGTTCCATTCTTGAGATGATAATTAATGGGATTTTTGTTATGCCGACGCTATTGTTTTTACAACTCTTCAAGATTATTGACCTTAAAATTATATCTGAACAAAAAATTGAAATTTAATTCACAATTTGTCAATGTAGATTTCCATAAACAATATTGTTCAGTTTTCATATAAAAAGTTCTTAAAAAATTGTTATACAGTGGAACCTTATTTAACGAGTTTAATTCCAAAATTTCCGGATTTTTACTTGTATATAGTAAAACATATTCAAACTTCTCTTATACATGGGCGTCTTATACATGGTAGCGTCTTATAATTTGGGATATACGATAATCTAAAACTTAGTTTGTTTTGAAATTTTCTAAACGTACGTAAATCCATACTGTTCGAAGCCGCTATATTTGTGTGTATTGCACCATGTCGATTATATTTTTGAAAAGAGTTACTTTATTTTTATATTTGTTCTATTATTATTAATATTTAAAATGCTACAAAAATTGAGGGATCATGAAAACTTTAAAACATTATTAATATTAGGAACAAATCTATAAAAACTTTTATGTAAATAAATTTTGATTAAGATACTTTGATCTTAATCTTATCAAAAACCAACTAAAAACTGGTTTTTCAAATAAAAAAAAATGATCAAATATTAAAAAGCGGTTTCGTAAAAAAGTTCAGGTTCAAAAACCGGTTTTCGTACAAACCCTAACTCTTCACATGTTTATAAATATGATTTTATAGAATTTTAAATCTTAAAATGCATCTCTTATCTCAATTTTATGTTAAAATTTAGAAACCGGTTTTGTAAATATGTTCAGTTTCAAAAACCGTTTCTTGTATAAACGCTAATTCTTCACATGATAAATATGATTTTGTAGTATTTGATTTTAGTGACCTATCGGATAACACTGAAACACAAAAATGCATGTCAGGAGCCTTGACCGTACATCACTGTCGCAATGTCTAATGTCCGGTGATACCATAACAATATTGTTAACATTCGGGTTACCACCCCAGCAAAAAAAAACTCTCACCCAAATTTATCTCGATCAAAGTTATTTTTGCACGGGGCGTGCGTCCGTCAACTTGATGGATGTTGCATATCGCCTCCAACATTTTTATTTTCAGCTCTTCTCCAGTCTCATCCTCATAATAATAATAAAAAATCAGACAACATTTATAATAATAATTTATTTTTTTCTTTGCTCTGCAGGTGACACTCTCCATTTCCATACTTATTAGTCTCCACGTGTTCTTCCTGCTAGTCGTCGAGATTATTCCACCCACATCGTTAGTGGTCCCATTATTAGGAAAATATCTCATTTTCGCCATGATATTAGTTTCAATAAGGTAAGATTAATCGTATCTCGAACACGTATTCCCATGATTAATTAAATTACGCTGCACGACACCACTTCATAATTGCATAATAATCCGCCGAAGATTTTCTTCCATTCACTGCGTATTCGTATTCACCTTTCATATAAAACTTTTGTATTACAAAAAAAAGCCTTTACATCTTTACAAACGAGAATACTATAGTTGGAATTATTAAAAAAAATATATATTCAATAGTAATTTTCAGTAATTCCTTTTTATTGCCTTCATGTTCATGTATTTCCGTTTTCTTTTATACTTTTAAAAAATTTATTCCTTTATTGTGGAAGAGGTAGAAAGAACTATTATCTTTCGGATCGATAAAAACGTTTAGCTGCAGGAAACTGCACGACCAGAGGAGAGAAATAAAACGGAAAGGGATAAAAATCATATTGGATCTCTTAATAGTGATTACGTTCAATGAGTTAATTTAATTTTGCTAGGGTGGCCAGTAAGAAGACACCTCTTCACTTTGATTTAATGTAAAGACCATTTGCGTCAGGGAATAATGGTGGAGAGGAAAATGGAGCTGAGGGATGCTGCAATTCGTTTTATTGTCCTTTTTATGGTAACAAAAATATATTACGGAATAAGATGAATTGACGATACATCTGAAGAACTATTGGCCCGAAGATCCCAATAAAACGAAATGCTTCAGGTCTCGCCATTTCGCGTTTTGTTTTTTTTTTTGCTTGTTTTGCAACAAACAGAAAAGCTGTAAAATGAAATAACCTAGTAAAATTTTTGTTTATTTTTTTATAAGCGCTAATTAAACTCATGAACGTTTAATTGCTCCGTCTACTCATATTACATAAAACGTATAATTGAACAAATATTTTTTTACTTGTTTTCTAAATAAAAATATATTTTATTGTTAGATAATATAACGAACCTACAAATTTTAATAAGTAGTATTTTACATAAATAAATATATAAAATTCAAAGAAAATTAAAAGGTGTCCCAAAATGAACTGATATTTTATGTTTCCTCTTTTCATGAAATTTTCCATTTCCAGAAATTTCAGCAATCTTGTATGGAATTTCATCTTTATAATTTATTCTAAATAAATCATACATATTTATTCATTTCCATCAATAGTTAAATTATTTAAAAAAATATATTTTTGGTTAGATTTGTTTTCAGAAAAATATTTGAGATTAAAAATTATCAAGATTTTATCTAGAAATTTTAAAAGTACTTCAATATATAATAAAACAATAAATTTCAATTAATATTCCATATATATTTCAAATAGATTTTTTTTTAATAATTTAGCAAATGTTTATAAGATTTCATTAAAGAAAGTTGAATTAAAGTGTTACAGAGATGAAATACATCAAACTGTAAATAGAAATGGATAAAGATAAAAATAGTTTGGTTGTTAAAGGATTTGAATGTTTCGCTCGCGCATAAACCCAATCGGAATTGGCTGTAATACAGATGCGGTATAAATGTACAAATCCTCTTTTGTAGGTGTGTCTTTGTTTTGGCGGTGTGGAGTGAGAGATAGATATGATCCTGTTGTATCCGCGTCACTGTAGATAAACCCGGCGCATCCGTCAGTTATTGGTTCGAACATTTGTAATCTCGTCCAGGAATTGGCTGCAAGGATTACGCATTTCGCAGTTTCAGATGTTTACGATACAGGCATTTCCCTTCTGACAATTCAAACAAATCAGTTTCAAATTATAATTATACATTTTACGTCCCAGTTTCTAAATTTAAACTACAAAACACAATGTTAAAATTAAATTTATTTTTTACTCAACAAATTAAATTCAACTTATTATATATCACATGATAAACTAAATTTAAAATAAAATTATTTTGAATAATTGTTAAATAAATGTCAATTTCGCAGTTACATATGTTTACGATACAGGCAATTCCCTTATAACAATTGAAACAAATGATTTTTGAATGATAATTATACATTTTTCGTCCCACTTTCTAAATTGGAACTGCGAAAGAAACACAATGGGGGGTAAAGAATGAAGAAAAAACGAGATTCGTAGCAGTGGAACCAATGACTCTGTCCATCTGACTAATGATTTTGTGTCGTGCCGTATAACAGGACTGTTGTTTGGGTCCCGGAGGATAGAAAAAAAGGAAGATACTTGAAGTAAATTAGGCCTCTTTGAGATTTATTAGTTGCCCTGATAATTTATCTAAATCTAACCTGGAATAATGTATTTACATGAGTTTTTTGTATGTTACAGTATATGCGTGACGGTGGTTGTACTGAACGTCCACTTTCGATCCCCGCAGACGCATAAAATGTCACCTTGGGTGAAGAGGGTCTTCATCCATATATTACCTAGGTTACTGGTGATGAGAAGACCGCAGTATATGTTCGAAACGAATAGGTATGAATTGTTATTTTTAGACTCAACCTCATTTTTTATATAGTTTTCTCCTGACTTAATTTTTGTACTTTTACCTTCATATTAATATAATTACAATACTTGCAAAAAAAATATTTAAAAAATTTCTTATATAACAATCAATTAACATAAACCTATCTAACTTTATCATACTTTTTTAGTATTATCATCTATTTTTCTCTAAGATTCTATTTAGATATTTTTTATTCATAGTTTATTTCTTATATTTTTATAGACATATAAGTCATATAATTTCTTAAATAAACTATATTTAAGTTTTATACTACTTTCATTTTTCTTGTAGTTTTGATTCATATTGTTTTAAACTGGATATTTTTTTAATATAAAAAAGGCATAGTTTATTTAGATATTTAATTACATAAATTAAATTTTGGACTAAGTAAAACCAAAAATAAATGCTTTAATGCATTTAATGCATAAGCAAATAATTTTGATACCAACAAATTTAATACTCATGATTTACTTATAAAGTTATTTAGAGTTTTTTTTTAATTTTATCAAAGAATAATTATTAATATGATGTTCTAACTTTACATGAAAATATACAATTATTGCACTATGTAAAACAAAAAATAAATGCTTAGAAATTTTTGAAATATGATGACTTGTCAATGAATTAAGTTTATTTTATTTCTTATTTATTTTGTCACAAATTTATATTATGGTCAAACAGTTAAAAAATACGCAAACAATTTTTAACTCTAAAAATGTATTACTTATGGTTAAGTTAAAAAACATTTAGAGTTTTTTTTAATGTTTAATAAAATAATAATTATTAATATGAAGTTGTAACTTTACATGAAAATATAGAAATATAAATATAGAATATGGAATTTTTGTTTTAATACAAAATTGCAATTATAATTTTATTGTACAAAATAATTATTAATTACAATTTATAATTAACTTGGAATGAAATTTTACGTTATTTAGAATATTAATTGCTTTCGAAATTAATTTAGTATGATGTAATTGTTGGAACTCATAATAATTAATTATTTGTTATAATGGATTAATAATTATTTGTTTATATTACGCAATAATAGTAAACAAAATTTTCTACATTTAAAGGAATATTGGTCACGTAATTTCCACTATATTACGCAATAAATTTCTGCATTTAAATTATTTTGTATTTGGAAATGATGTAGCTCGTCTGCATTAGTGTAAAAGGTAAAAGGGTTATAGTCTGTGTGGTATTGTATTTATTATAAGCTGTCTGTGCGTTGTATGCAAGAGGGTTTTAAACCTGTAAGCTGTTTGTACGGTTACATAAATCTTGTGTGCTCTGAGGTGTTGAGTGTTTTAGAGAATCCCCTGTAGCGCCATAGCACCCTTCTAAGTTTAATCGTTTTGTAAATTGAAGGTATGTTTCGAGCAGGCTACTGATGAGGGGTCGTCAATTCTCAACATGCTTGTATCCGTACAAGTCGTCGGTGCAAACAACGGAAGAGCGCAGCCCCAGGAGGTTCCAGAGCAGCCGGACGCCGTCCAAAGAGGAACTATCTCCAGGGTAAAAGTTTCGACACTGTACCATTATACAATCTTCTCCCCTTTACAACTTTTCGCTTGTTTGTACTCACTTTTCGCTTTGGTTCTGTCTTAATTAGTTTGGCGGACAGTCTGGGCGGTCCATTCGGGGGCAGCTGCCAAATCCACGGACCTCTGGCCATGCCCCAAACGGAAGCGGAAGATCTCACGGTGCTCGAGGGAGAAGCACCCGGCTCAGGGGTCAAAAGCCCAGTCCTCCGGAATCCGGCTTTCTCGCATTCACGTTGTCCACCGGAAGTACACAAGTCTTGCTTCTGTGTTCGCTTTATTGCTGAACACACGAAAATGCTGGAGGATTCTACCAAGGTAAATCATTTAATATTTATAATCTAAATTATGCAAACTTACGAACATTAACAATATGCATAATTTTAAATAAAAAATAATAATAATTCATAAATATTATACATCCACTTAAAACAAGTTTTTATTTTATTCAATTTTAATTACATTAAGTATATAGATAATATTACATAAAATTTATTGTATAACTAATTACATAGAAAGTATATATGCATTTATATTAATTATATAAAAGGCTAGTATTAATAAGAAACATAAAGATAAATACAACTTTAACTGCATATTATATTTCAATTTCGATTTAAATTTCCCGGGAAAATTTTCTACTACATTTAATTAATGTTGAAAGTTTTGCATTTATTTAATAACTATTTTATACTTAAAATAAACAATTTTACAAATAACAAATGTTAAATGTTGTTCAGATAATCTAAAAATTTTAACTATTCCATAATTTACAATTTAAAACACATGAATTTGTAACTTAAAATAAATTTACAACTATCCAGGCTTAAACATGAAATGCTTTGTTGTGTAAATGTATCCGACTGAATCATCCATCTGGCTGCATTCTGGGTGGTAAACATACAGTATTAATTAAATTTTCGCCAGTTTTTAGCGTTTCCATTAAAATATTTAAATGTGCAAAAACGTCTTCGAATTAATTTAGCAAAGAGCAAATTCTATTTTTGACGTAGAATGGTAGAGTTGGAAGCGTCGACGAATATTTGAATTATTTAAATCTGCGCACGGCAACCCTCCGGATTGACGGCCGAAGCCTGGGAAAAAATTAAAACGTCCACATTTGTTGCGAGTTTTATGCAACCTAACGATTTAGTTCAATAGTGTTCACTAATCATTAAAAGAGTATTTTATTTGCGTTTATTGCAATGACAGTTTAATTATTGCCAGAAATTTTTAACAAAATATAGCAGAAAATATTGAGTATTCGTTTTCAAATATATATAAACAATAATTACATTTTAATATGTACAAAATTAATTAAATTCGTTTTAGGGATAAATTTTAATGAGCAAATTGTATTTGTAATCATAGATGTAAAAACTAAGTAGATTTGTAGAGTTTATGCACATCAAAAAAATAATTTTTTAGGTCTTGTTTTTATTACTTACAGTAGACGAAATTTAGTTATCTAATCACATGAACAAGTTTTTTACAATTCAATACCAGTAAAATTTTAGGTCTTGCTTTGAATACATATATTAGACAAAATTCAGTTATTCGTTCTAATCTCAAGAACTTGTTCTAAGATTCTATACTATTCAATACCCATTGTACATTGTTTTGAATACTTATGTTAAACAAAATTTATTTAATTTATGTAATCATATTGACTAGTTCTGCAATTCTATGCTATTTAATATTGTATACATCTAAAAAGTAATTTATTAGGTTTTATTTGGAATACTTATGTTAGACAAAGTTTTTTAAGACAAAAACAAGTTATGAGTTTCTTCACTATTTAGACACTCCAAGAAAGTAAATTTTAGATCATGATTTAAATACTCAAGTTATATAAAATAAAGTCACTTTATGTGAATCGTTATCAGTTGTCATGTTAAAAAAGGACATTTAAAACCTTAGTCTGTTTAGTTTCTTTATGGAAAATTATGATACTTTTCCTAATTATAAGAACTTGTTATAATATTCTATATACGTTGTAGACATGAAAAAGTAAATTTTTGGGAATTATTTTGAATACTAATGTTATACAAAATGTATTTAATTTATTTTATCACAAGAACTAGTTTTTAGACTTTAGACACAGTACATTTAAAAAAGTAAATTTTAGGTCTTGGAGTGTTTAGTTGTATTATGGACAATTATGGTAACTTAAGTAACGTAAGTTTTTAGACTACAATATAAGGTAGTAATAAAATAATCTCAGAACTAAATAATAATAGTTAAAAATTGATAGATGAAAAATTAAATCTACAGTAGTACAGTGGTACCTCGGTATACTTTCGTTTCGGAACAAATCCATCGTGATATATATATATATATATATATATATACACGAAATATCTTGAGAAGAATATAGAAGGAAAGTTCTTTAGATATATTTTTAGTAAACGTAAAACCAGGCTTAATTAGGGAAAAGGTTGTTAAATTGTCATTCAGGGCGACTAATATCCGAAGGTTAAATATCCGAATGGTTAAATCGAGTCTTACCCAATATGTAATATTATAATAAGAAAACGACTAATAGCCGAATGGTTAAGTCGCCCTACCCACGAGCTAGTGGGCACAGGTTCAAATCCTGGTCAAGCCAGGCCCTTTGTGAGCCCTCTCGGTGCTTGCAGCAATAGGGCCATCGTTCATCACAGATGGACAGTGAAATGAATGAGGTTCAGCAATGACCTAAGATTCAGCGTATGCAATGAATGAGGTTCAGCAACAATAGGATTTTTTGTATTGGAACAGATTAATCATTTTCCCTTTATTTCTTATGAGAACCATTCGTTTAGTATAAGTCCTGTTTGGTATAAGTTTACGAATCTGGAATGAATTAAGGACGTATAGCAAGGATCTAAATACTTATATTATACAAATGAAATTACATAATCTGTTCATAAGGACTAGTTATGAATACTATATAGTTCATTAATTGCCAGTTATGATATATGAA